ATAAGCTCCCCATGAGGAAGGTGGGGCAGATCTTATTCCAGTTTCACAGACGGGGGATAAATACAGGAGGACTGACCATAATAGCAGAATGTGAAGATGACTATGTTGAGGTATGGGGGTGGGGTGTTATGGCAACACAGAGGGGCACCTGATCTACCCATGGGTCAGGTGATCAAAGAAGATTTTCAAGAAGATGTGAGAGTTAGGGGGTGAGTGAATGGCAACTCTGTCCAGGCAAATAGAGAAGCACAGGGCGTGTCTGAAGAAAGAGTGATAGTGAAGAATGGGTACCTGTTAGTTCGAATGAAAATAGAGGCTTAAGTGAGATCAGGATTTCCTATTGGACAGCCCTCAGTTCTCCAGAAGATGAATGGACTAGGATGCTCATCCCTAAGCTCTCCCTTTTGTCTGCCTTTGTCCTTTCGCTATAGTAGACAGAAGCACCCGATACCTTTGCTTCCTTTCCCTTCTCCTCTCCCTGTGTGTGAACCATGGGGGCCTGTTGAAGGCATCCTTTCTGTGAAAATGGTGAAAAGGGGAGAAAGGGAAGAGAAATCAGTTACTGAGAACTGAGAAGTTCTGGGATCGAAAGTTCCTTAATTCTACTCTGACTTAAGCCCTAAAAGGGTCATTCAGTGGCATCACTCATGACTCTATCTGAAGCACTCGTGGTAACTTCTGTATTGAGAGACATAATGGGGGCACCTCTGCCAGTCAGCCACTTGTGAAATACCACTGAAAACCAGAGTCTATTTTTCACCTGGTAGCTCCTTTAGGAGGATCTCTCCCTTTAGGAGAAATCCAACTACAATCAAGCTTATCAACCTTCCGCACTAACGATGTGACCCATAGCGGCTCTGTCTTGGTCACATGTGGCACATTGTCTGAAGATGATCTGTCATGTCTATGTAGGGTAGTGCTCTACCCTGGACTGGAGCTCCTCCCCTTCCCTTGTCTCCCAGCTCCATATTTAGCCATCTGCTGAAGGCTACACATGTCATCAAAGTTTATTATCTGTCTTCACTGCTACGGAATAATGCAGAGGTTTATGTTCGTGTAATAAGCTTTCTCCTTTGGCTTTAGTTTTAATAGAATCACAGAGAAAGCTAACCTTGTCCAACCAATTTACTATATGGGAAACCGAGGCCCTGAGAACTAACTAACCAAGAGCCAGAACTGGCTGGGGAATGAAAATTATTTGATTGAACAAAGCCTTTTTCTCTAGTCTGACTCTTTGGATCTCTTTAGGTGGCAAAGCACAGACAAAATTTCTTTACTTTGTTCACATTATATATTTATTTTTATGCTACAACCCCTCCCCCCACTTTTTTTTTGTG